TACAGAGAAGTTCCCCTTAGCTCATTCTGAGGCTCTTCCTCTTTTCACTCAAATGCTTCTGGGTGATGAGTGCCTCTGAGTGAACGGGGTCAATGAATCCCAAATCCTCATGTCTTGTCTAAGTATTTGCCACTTGTGAGCCAAACTGTGAAGACTGGGCTCACCTATTGGGAGATAAAGCTTAATCAGAGCAGAAGTTCAGCCTGGGGCAGAGGGCAGTCTCTTCCTTAAGAACAGAGACATGGAAGTTACCTTTTATGACTACAAAAGGCCTTGGAAAGCTTTATTTCCTCCAGAGAGGAGAATGAAATTGTTACTCTAGAAGTTAGGGCAGAGCTACCCAGTATTCCATTCATGAGTCTGGTTATTCATGCATGTAGGGCTGCCATGAAAACATCTCAATGAGCACATGGAGTCCACTGTGATCAATATATGAAAAAAATAAGATCAGTTGTAATTCATATTAATTCTTCTCCTTCAACCGTGGGATAACAGTCTGGGGCCGGGACACTTTTGAACTTGTGTTTTGCTGTGATAACACCACTGTGCTCTGAGCACTTTTGAGAAACTAAGAAGCCAGCAATTCCTTCCAGCTTCCTGAGAGTGCATCTGATTCAGTTCCTCAATTTCACACAACTGCTACTGATATTTCACAGTTAGAATAATGTTCAAAACAGGATAACTGAGAATTGAAGGGCAAAGAAGATTCTGGTATTTTTTGCCAGGAGACCTGCGTCATATATTGTGAGAGTAAAAAGAACAGGATGGCTTCAAGTGTGAATAGAAGTCGATTAATTTCAAAGCAAGGAAAGATTCAAGGTCTTGCCATCTCTATACTTAATAAATTGTGTGTGTTTGGTACACGGAACAATAAATTAAAAAAAAAAAAAACAATAAATGGGCCAAGGAAATGAACAGACAGTTCTGAGAAGATGATATACAGTCAACCAACAAATATATGAAAAAAATGTTCAACATCTCTAGCAATTAGAGAAATGCAAATCAAAACTAAGTTTTCATCTCACTCCAGTCAGAATGGCAGCTATTAAGAATACAAACAACAATAAGTGCTGGCAAGGATGTGGGG